TGCCTAGGTATGGTATACAATACCGAATGCGCAGCCGGCAATGTATGTATAGATGACCCACGCTGAACTGTCCCACCAAACTCAATGACAGGGGGGCGCTACCATCGTTCAACTATATGGTTTCCAACATGGCAAAAATCTGAACCAGCGATCCGGTATTGACGGTGGCGCCCCACTGTCAATGTCATCGACAGGACATTCCAGTATTTTGGAACTATAAAAGACAATAGCAAGAAAAGAAGAGGAGATGACTGGCCAGGCAGAAACCTAGAAAAGTTTTAAGTTGTTAATGAGTACTTACTGGAAATTAATATAAAAATGTAATGGAAAATAATAATGTTATTTCATACATTGCCTAGACGCACCAGACATTCTATGAGTATTTCTCAAAAAAAATGTACGTAACGAAACGGTAGTAACGAAATAGTAAGGCCATAAGGCTTGTTATACATTGGCGAAATATTGTGAATGCTCTNTAAAATGTTCATAATAATTAGTGTACATTGAATTGACACAACAAACAATTAGAGATGAAACGGATATCCGGTAAATATCCGGTAGGCCGGATATCCGGCCTAAATTTACTATCCGGCCGGATACCGGATAGTAACTCACTATCCGGCCGGATACCGGATATTAAAAAACTACGAAAATTTCCTATTAATAAAATGAAATACATGAATCTTTCAGGTAAATATAAATAAAATGGCTCATAATAATTACGGCTTTTATTTAACCGATTGAGTCCCAGACGGCATTAATTAATGTCATAACAATTGATTATCTATTGTGTCTAGATTCGCGGAGCTCGAAGGATTAAAGTCCAAAAAGTTACAAAAAAGCCATATTAAGGCCTTACAAAAAACCAATTTATTTTTCTGAGCTATTCACTCTAATGACGAATACATAAACTCAACATCAAATAAATCGCACCTTCCGCGACGCGAACTTTAAAGATTTTCTTCTGACACAATCATGGTGCCCCAACAATATTGGTGTTATTTGAAAGCCCAATAAATAAACTTAAAGGAAAACACTTTTTTTTTATAAACAATTAACATGTACCATAAATGTGACTTGAAAAAAGGCCTCACTTGGGGCTCACCTCTGGGACCAAGTAGACCAATTTCTGTGATTATAAAACCAAATAATGATCTTAAGTGTTCTTTTTAACAGATGAAATTCCAATTTAACAGTTTTATAGCCATAAAAGTTGGCTCGAGCGTAACTACCTATTTTTTGTAGAAGTGACTCTGGACTGGATCCTTCTAAAGACACATTTTAGGGTAAGAACCTTTCCTTTAATGAAATTAAATGAAGTTTAGAACTAGGCTTTCAAATGGTTCCAATGTTGTTGGGAAGTGGGGATGCATACGTTTGATAAGTGCTTGTCGCGGGAGGTGCGATTTATTTGATGCTGAGTGTAGTAAATATCTGTTAATGTCGAAATATTGCCAAATAAAATAAGCGATCTTTTTTTCACTGATGGTCTACTAAACTAATTTAATTTTCGCTATTCAATCACACACTCACGATGGCAACCGAAATCGCCCGAATTGAACTGCCCCCTAGCTAGACAAGTGGCAAAATCTGACATTCTATTCGGACGGATTCGATTTTCGAAAAGTGTGACTAGTCTAGTCTACTAATAGACCCACTGATTGCGTTCGAAGCACCTGTGCGGCGTTAAACTAGCCACGACATGCAACGAGACAATGGGCCAACTATCCGGCCGCCGGATATCCGGCTATCCGGCCTAGCAGCTGGCCGGATATCCGGTATCCGGTATCCGGCCAAACAACTATCCGTTTCATCTCTACAAACAATAGTTCATTCTTGTAAGTTGTACTTGATGAAATTTCATTTCATATTATTTATTAATAATTCAAAGCAAAAAAGGCTTATTACATCTGAATTGTCAAAAAATGACAGCTGTCAGAATTCCGTCGAATTAAAAATCGGACTATAATTTTCGCGATAGATGTAATGGCGGAGACGTCAGGCCAACAGCCATTCAGAGTGCAGCTATTGTTGTCCGTGTAAAATAAATACGGAATTGTTCAGAAACCATGGGAAAGTAGAAATAAATCGTAACTAAAGAGTAAATAACGAAATAGTAAATGAGAGCGACTCATTTTGTTTTTTTGCTTTAAATNCCCCGCAATAACACCCGCGGCAGGGGAAGACCACCTAAACGGTGGACAGATGATATCCGGCAACAGGCTGGAGTAAACTGGATGCGTGTGGCCAGGGACAGAAGTCGGTGGAGGGTTGAAGAGGAGGCCTATGTTCGAAGGCGAACCCAAAGGCAGCTATAGATAGATAGATTGACTCGAGGAGTAAATATATTTATGTTTAATAGTTGAGTTAGCATTTAACCCACTTACTCCTACCAGGCGTTATAACACCGCTAAAAAGTAATTCGGAATATCCTCAGATAAATTATAAAAATATCTAGAATTTGTTTACTGTTCCTTGTATTTTCTCTTCATTACGAATCAAGCTGTAATTGAGTATGTTCGATATCGCATATTTGCTTTATTTTGTTAGTTTTTTATTATTTTGAATTCTGTTATTAAGTTTTGTGCAAAAACGTCTAATAAATGGCAAGATATTTCATAAAATTGCTAGTAATACCTCAGATTATACTAGTTATTACTTTATGTACTACTGTTAGCTACAAAACTATAAACATATGTTTTTGAAAAGCTTTACATTTTTGATACTTTTTATGACAAAATTACGATCGGTGTTTTAACACCTGGTCGCATAATCGACGTCTAACCTGTATATTCATTAAAAGTTTAGGCCACGATATAAAAGACCCCTGAGACTTCACGAAATTGTGGACGTATTAGAAAACATTGACGACGATGCTCAGATACCGAATCACATAGCAATTTTACCACCAGAAAATGCCAATGCAGAAGCAACGGATGAATATTCTGGTGAAGAAGACCACGTTACCTTTCTAAAATCTTCCAGGTTAGCCTGGTTCCGTTTATCTAACTATAACCTGGAAGATTTTATAAGGTAACGTAGTCTTCTTCACCAGAATATTCATCCGTTGCTTCTGCATTACTACTTATAGCGTGTAAGTTTTCTATTGCTATTTTTCGTGAACTTCCAGGTTCGCAACTTAAAGCCTAGGCAGAAGTACTGTACGACAAGTCTTCAGATAAAGATGATAACATCCCGCTCTCTGATTTTTTAAAAGAAAGACGAAATGAATCTAATGACGCCTCCAATGCAGTTAGATCTTCTGCCATAAAAGTACCTACCGCAATAACAATTACAACAATGCAATATAGTGCAAGTACCTTCTGTGAAAGCTCTGTGCCAAAATGAATAAAATATACATGGCAAAGCAGTCATACTCCGAAACAATATTTTATGAAGAATGGCACCACCACCAGGGTCCACGGAGCTTACATCCCTCCCTATGTACTACTTTACTTACGAGTACTACACGCAACGGAAATGTAAAAATTTGCAAGAAAAAATCAATTTGGTGTAAAAAATGCGCCACTTACTAAAGCATCCTAGGCTATGATTTATGTCTTACCATATACCATACCTCTGAATAAGATTTTGGTATTTTTTTAATAAATGAGTATAACTTACAACTCGTTTTTAACTCTTAAACCTAACAAAATCATTATATGGTTTTTTCTCATAGTAGTTGTGGTAGTAGTCCATTCTCCGACCAGGTGTTAAAACACCACCCATTTTCCGGCTTTTCCAGTTGACCAAGAATTTTTCTAATATTTTTCTGTGGACACTTGACCTCTATTTAGAAACATACTAAAAATTTATAAAAATTGACAAGTATAAAAAGTTTCAGGAGTATCTGGGTTAACAAAATTCTTATTAAAATGTTTATTTGAATAGAGAAGAGAACTTTGTGGAAATGAAAGGAGAAGAACTGTTGTTTATTTAAACAAAATTTTGATTAGTTTAGGTCTCTTTATACCAGCATAATTTGATAGACTTGTTAATTTTTGATAACACTGTGTTAGAAGGCTGTCTTAGAATATAAATAAATAAATAATTATAAAGAAAATTGGTATTTTATTGAACTTTTTTTTAAAAGATCCAGTGTACCCCAAGCGATTCCCTGTCACCCATGAAAAGATCCAAAGTGACCCATCCACGGGTCACAGTGGTTAATTTCCCATTTTTTTAAAAACTTGTTATAACTTGTAAATTTATGCCGTTTTTACCAACAATTGCACCTGGTTTTGTAGATTAGGGACATATCTTGTGGTTAATTATCATAGATTAATTATTTACGCATAATCTTGGGATTTGTGGAGCTTGAAAAAAAAAGTGATCCATTGTTACCCACTCTCCCCTAGTTGAAACAAACCACAGCTAATTTTCATAGTGGACTGTACTATACGATAAACATGTCAGTCAATTTGACACCCTTGTCGGAAAAATTATTCAATGAAAATATTGTCCGAACCCTTAGTATTTCTCTTCGACAAATACTTTAACACATTGTGAACCACTTTTCTTTCACGACTATAAAAAGATTTTAGCAATTTAATTCACAAAATCAATTGCGCACATTTAAAATAAAGTTTGTTTACACTTTGACAGCAATAGACTGACATGCAAGCACATGCAAGGTGACATGTCAATGAAGTTTTCAGTTACTGTTGCCATTAAAAGAAATTAGTACCATTAGTTTTCCGCAACATGGCGAGGGTTTTTATCAGAGTTTTTATGTTCCTGGTCAGGCTATAATATACCTGAATTATAAACAGGCCGGTGACACACATTTTTCATAATATGAAGTTTGGTTGAAATCGGAGCGTGTAGGTACCAAATGGAAGTACTGATTTCAGACACACATTTTAATTTATGTTTTTAGGTAACAATGTAGGATTTTTATTAAAATTAAGTCTCTCTGCACTTATTTATTCAATTTATCATCAAGCGCAGGAAGAAATCGGACCCAATTTGACTGACAGACACATTACGGACAATGACAGCTGTCTTGTTGACGTTTGTTTGTTTACCATTATCAAATGGTGCAAGTCGAGCACATTTTATATAATTTTAGCCATATTTCATTCATTAAATACATTGAAAATGATTACTAGACAATTTTTTAAAAATAATGTAATAATTAGAATAAGTATTCAAAATTGTAGTGTAAGATTACGACATAAACTAACTGAAAAAACCAATGAAAAAGACCTCAAACTGGCAAGTGATGTTACTAATTACTTAGAAAACTCAGCGGAATATTGTAATGTTAAAGATAAACTACCTAATTTTTTGCTAAGAAAATATAAAACACCAGAAAGCATGTATTTGATAAACAAACAGACTGCGAAACATATCGCTACTACTGTGTCTAAACATATAAACGATGCATCAACAGTTATTGAAGTTAATCCGGGGCTCGGATTCTTGAGTGAAGAGCTGCTTCATCAATTGAATAATCATATTTATATGTATGAAACATCTAATCATTTTTCTTCTCATCTTAGTGTGAGTATAATGTTTATTTATTATTCTGCTATTGCCAAACCTATAATACCTATTAAGATACACCAAATCAACATCAGACCAATAGTATCTTTAAGATCAAACTATTTCTGTTTTAGCAAGCTATCACTGAAGTTAACAATATGTTATTCTAGTTTGAATATTCATTTTAAAATAATTTGATATGTGTTTGTGTTCAGAGTCTACTAGGTAAACATCCTGGCCGAGTGACTTACAAAGTTGCAGATTTTTTTGGAATGTGGAAACTAGCATTTAAAGATAAAATAGACAATGGAATTAGGATACAAGAATTATTAGGAAGTCTCTCTACTAATGATAGCAGTGAGTATCTTTTTTAATTTTTAAAACAACAATATCAAAAATAAATTATTCACAATCCTATCTTCAATAAAATTATTATTAAATCTATGAGACTACTAACTGAACTCCAGAAATGTTAATTAAAGTAATAATTGCTCAGCCTGCCAGATACTAATAAAAAGAGTTTTTATGAGGTAAAATTCCAGTCATTGGACAAAACGCCCCTTTAACTTCCTTTGTGAATATTACCACAGAATAATAATAAGTACTACGCACAGAAGTTTTACTTCGCGAAGGTATTTAAAAAAATGTATGCTCAACGACATTAGCAATATGGTGTAATTTAGCCTGTCTCAAGAGTCAAGCACCATTTTGTTGACAAACGTCAGTGATCGGCACTGCGCCGAAGCTATAGGGCTGACTTCCTTCGGTAAAATGATGTGACGTGAGGTGCCAAACTGGGGAAAATGGCGGAGGAAATACATGATTTAGCATGAATTATGATGAATAATATTAACTACTTATTTACCTCTCAGTGTCTTGAGGCAACTTAAAAAAGTACATTCTGTGTTTTTATTATTATTTAGGCAGTTAAATACTGCACAGTATTTAGTACACCATTTTCTTTATTTTCTTCCATCATACATAAGAATACGCGTGCGTGAGTCAATGTTCGCTCGTATGTGAGGCCTTGTCGAATAGTATCCTGTAGGTGGGCCATCGTGCGTGTTTTGTTTTCGATGTAAACTCGCGGAGATGAACAGGCCTGATATTACTTCAAATGCAAATTTTGAAGGAGATGAAGATCTTTGTTGTTATAATTAGCTATTTTAATTCAACAAAAATTTTAATAATTTTAACAATATCTTTACTACATGGACCATAAATCCAATGACTGGAAGTTTATTACCCTATCAAGGTACCTACTACAATATTTCCAAAACATGTTTACTTATGTACTTATTTATTTTTTACAGGTAGAACTGTGAAAATAATTGGATCAATGCCTGGATTGACATTTATTAAGCATCTTTTGAATAATATAATATTTCATACAACAAATAATCAACTAGGGAGGCCAGATCTCTTCATAACAATGCCTGGGAACCATTACCAGGTGTTTTAATAATTTAATCATTTATTTATACATATTTCTTAGCATACCTACAAAACTTTATACTCATGTTAAATATCTTCTAGTTTCTTACAGACAATCAAATCCAGTTCAACAAGCACAAGTCAGTGCCTGCACTGTTTCAACTGTTCTTTGACTACAAAGTGTTGACCACAGTACCCAAAGTTCACTTTTTGCCATGGACCTTTCCTCCGAGCAGCAAAAAAAGTTCAGTGGTAAGAAAATTGCATGATCATTTAAAACTACATACATCTCCTATTTACTTAATCCCACCGATTCCTACCCACGACTTCGCCCGTGTGAAATTAAATTTGTCACAGATCAATTATCATTATAGCCTATGTGTATGTTATTCTGATGTATAAACAATACTGTAAAGTTTCATCAAAATCCGTTCAGTAGCTTTTGCATGAAAGAGTAAGAGCGCTTGTAGACGTCCGTTTTTTTGACCGGACAACGGCCCGATTTTTTCACCGGATTTAGCGGTGGTGTATGGATTATAATGAACGTGTGCGTGCACGCACATGCATCGGACATAGGTCCGGCGAGAAAATTGACAGCAAACAAAGGATATCCGTTTTTTGACGGTCCGTCGTCCGGTGAAAAATCGGACGTCTACAAGCGCTCTAACAAACATACATCCTTACAAACTTTCGCATTTATAATGTTAGTAGGAAGTAAGATATATTTTAAAATGGCAGTATATTTATTAAAATTCGGGTGTGAAGCAGTCTCTTGTTCAACTAGTATTTTAATTGATTGTAAATGATTTGATTTTAGCTGGACGAATGCAATTTATATCTTGTTAATATCACGCAAAAAAAGGAATTGCCATGCCCTTCGGAATATCTACCTCTGCTATGGTACTTCTTTAAGCCACATATGTTTTCGAAGTCAACGAGGGTTATCCCAATGTTAGAGTAAGTATTTTTTTAAAGAAATATTATGCAATACTTTTTAATTAACGAGAAACAGTTAAAATGGTTAATGTCGACTTTTTAGGCAGTGGATCCCTGGCTGTGGGGTGTGGCTAATCACAGGACAAGACCCACCAGACACCAATAAAAAGATTGCACCAGGAAAAGACGATGCTGAACTTCCCCACATGACTATATTTACGGAATTTGGCGACCTCAATCTCAAGCAGAAGATAACAGTTTTTAAAAAGTATGTAGTTACTTGATAAAACTGTTGTTTTTTTTCTCTATCTCGTTTTAGACGAGTTTGTTGAAAAACGAGATGTTTCATTGTATGTATTATTTATATTGCAGATTTGTGTCTTGGCCAGAATTTGAACAGTGCCCATTTAAAGTCACAATGGAAAATAATTTACCGAAATTCGTCTTAGACCTGGATGGTGAAGATAAAGATAATATTGGTACTCACATTGATGATATAGAACATTCAGATGCAGAGGTTGAAACTTAATAAATTATGATTTAATTTACCTACTTTATGAAATTATTTGTTCCTCCTATCCTGTTAGGATTAGGTTTATTTTATAACAGCTAGAGGCTTTATGTATTTTTAATTTCCGCATAACACCTTTTAAATAAACAGACGTATGTATTTGTAAGTGATTTTTTTCTATACATATTATAGACAAGATCTTAAATCTTGTCTTCTCTGATTTGTGATTTGAGACCTTGAGGCTTCTTTTCATCCTAAAATCGACTATATGACCCTTGTCATAATTCGAGTGATTTAAAGCATTATGCGCACGCGCATGTGAAGTCTGCATACTTTTTGCGACATTTACTCTATCTATAGCATAAATGCAATAGATATTATTGTACACTGGTCATCACAAAAATCGACCCTCCCGCGACAAGCACTTTCACTTACTTTCTTTCAAACGTATGCATCCCCACTTCCCACCAATATTGGCACTATTTAAAAGCCTAATTCTAAACTTCATTTAACTAAAGGAAAGGCTTTTACCCCAAAAATGTGTCTGTAGAAGAATCCAGTCACTTCTTCAAAAAATAGGTAGTTACGCTTGAGCCAACTTTTATGCCTATAAAACTGTTAAGTTGGGATTAATCGCTATCCATCTGTTAAAGAGGACACGTGAGATCATTATTTGGTTTTATAGCCATAAAAATTGGTTTAATAAAATTGATCCCAGAGGTGAGCCCAAAGTGAGGTCTTTTTTCAAGTCACATTTATTGTAGGTATACTAGCGGCCGCCCGCGACTTCGTACGCGTGGACCCCGTTTTACCCTCTTCATCTATCTTACGCGGTTTAGATTTTTTCATACAAATGTTTTTTCCCGCTAACTCCCGTTGCCGTGGGAATTTTGCACTATCCTGTTGTAACTAAGCTTTAAGTTTACTAAGGTACCTAGATACCAAATTTCATGCTTCTAACTTAAGCAGTTTAGATTTTTCATACAAAAGGATTTTCCCGCTTATTTCCGTTCCCGTGGGAATTTCGGGAATTCCTTGTTGTAACTAAGCTTTAAGTTTACGAAGGTACCTACATGCCAAATTTCAAGCGTCTAACTTAAGCTGTTTAGATTTTTCAAACATAAGGATTTTCCCGCTAATTCCTGTTCCCGTGGGAATTCCTAAGTACCTATACTATAACCTGCCCAGGAGTCTGAAGAATAATTGTAGTAAGTTTCGTTAAAATCCGTCGAGTAGTTTTTGTTTCCATAAGGAACATACAGACAGACAGACAGACGAACAGACAGACAGACAAAAATTTTACTGATTGCATTTTTGGCATCAGTATCGATCACTAATCACCCCCTGATAGTTATTTTGAAAATATATTTCATGTACAGAATTGACCTCTCTACAGATTTATTATAAGTATATAGATGTTAATCGTTTATTAAGAAATTAATAAGGATATTTTATTGGGCTTTCAAATAACACCAATATTATTGGGGCACCATGATTGTGTCAGTAGAAACGAGTTTTCCTGTAAAACGTAGGTGGGCCGTTTTTGTGATGACCAGTTTTAAATAAAATACTTTTGTTTCAATGAAACGAAATAATACCAATATATTCAATAATACAATAAAATACTGATCACTAACACAAAATTATTAAAAACAAAATTTAACAATTTACAAATACAAATTATTATAAGTAAGTAAGCCTATTTTAATAAGTCGTACAATCTATATTAACAGTAGCATATACGTATATTGTACAATTTATGTCTTATTCAGTTGATTTCATATAACAATATTGCTTTATAGAATTAAAATACGTTGGAACTGCTTTACTAATCCTAATGGAAATGTATTATTAGGCAATAAAATTAATTGGACTCCCTATTTACTAATATAATATTATAACAAACAATGAGACAATGCAAATTCGAATATTGTTCTATACATGAACTATTATCAACAAACAGTTAATCTCACGAGCCACTTTTCCTTTCTACCGAATTCTATAAAATAATCGCTGTCACACTATGCCACTATTTTCCTAAAAATAAATACAATTGTAGACATAGTTTATAGCAAAGTGCACTAGCGTATTCATCTTATATACATTTTGAAGACTTTGTAACAACTAAAAGTATGTATTTGTATAATACATGTAAATATTTAAAAAATACTTTAACATAATATCTGGTTTTTAATTCGTGTCAGTACATAATTATGTATGACATTTTATTACGATTCTGAACGTGAAGTTGACGAATTTCTTTCTTGAATTAAAAAACACAAATAATGGCGAGTTTACCTCTAATTTCACACCACCACCTTATTTACAATCACTGCTAATTAAGTACAGTTTTATGTAAGTATGTGATAATAAGTAGTATTGCAGCACTGTTATAAATTTTGGAAGTGCCTCTCGTTATATGATGGTTGACTGGTTGTTTTCGGTGTTATATAATTTAATGAAGGGATATCTAATGGAATTTCATTAGCTTTTGGTTGGTATTTGCTTGTGTTTGAAGATTTTTGCAAGCTTGAATTGGTGTGGACGTTAAGGCTGATAGTGTTGAGACCATTATGCGGATTTACACTTGGGCTGGAGACAAAGTCTGTCCACTCGTCGTCGTCGGCAAACGTCGTTACCTTTTTAGGTAAAGGCGGTTGTTTAGGTTTACTAGAAACAAATTCGCCCCAAATATCGTCATCCGAAGTTTGATTAGCAAATCCTTTTTGACTGTGAACCGGAGAGGCAGTTTTGCTTTGACTATTTATTGTTTCGCTTTTCAGAGATTGAAGGGATTCAACAGGATTGAATCTTGATAAATCTTGCAAGTCTATTCCTGGATTTGGCCAATTGATCTGGGAATAACTCTCTAAAGACAATGGTTGCAATATTTGATTAGCTTTTTGTTGATTAGGCTTAGTTCCACTTGGTGAAGCAATAGTAGGTTGCAAGACGTTCGATATTGGTACCGAAGCAGGAGGGATTATTTGAGAACTGAAAATAAGCTCGTTCATGCTAGATACATTTTCTACTTTTTTGGTGGCATTTTCGATTGGTCGTGTATATGGAAGTGATATGTTCTCAGACTTCTTGTCCTTTTCGGCCGAAGCAAACACTACATCAAAATCTGATAAATTATTTGCTCCATGACTAACTAAGATCTTATCGTGAACTAAACTTTTATCCATATTACTAAGACCAGATTGAGGTGGCAGTGCCGATTGAAACATTTCAAAATCATCATCTACCTTATCACTGGTACCTAAAGTTAGGTTATCATTATGTTTATTTACATCAGTACTTTTAGATACTTCAAGCTCAGCAGATAAAATGTTTTCCGACATTTCTTCTGTTTCATCATTTTTTATAGATGAATTTGACATAAAATCGGTAAAGTCGTCAAAAGTTTCTTTTACTTCACCAGGATTAGGCCAATTTAGTGTAGGCATAATAAGTTCCACTTTCACAGGTTGGAGTACTTGCGTTTCTAAGGTATAATTCGGTTTTTGTGTTACATCTTTAGATGATGCTGGATCATTGGTTTTGTCTATTGGCTTTTCATTTGTAGTTACCGGTAAATCTTTACATTGAGATGCACCTCGGAAATCTTGAAATTCCCAGTAGTCATTGTCACCTTCCAAATTGTGTGCTTGTGGCGATATGTTATCTGTTTTCGGCATTAGTACAGCTGGCGCAGATCTATTATCATAATGTATAGTTTTAGATCTAGGTGTTTCAGAATCTGTAGGTGTAAATATGTGTGTGTCAGGTAAATTAATCTGTCGTATAGGTTGGATACTTAATGTATTGGAGTATATTTTGTCTGGTTTTGATGAGATGGAAGCTTCAAATACGTCCAAATCCGTAGGGCCTGGTTCCACGACGACATTTTCGTTTTCGTTACTGCAAGCTGAAACATTACAACATGAAGGTTAAAATAATTCGTAGCTTAATTTCAAGAATCTGATGCTACTTAGCATACTTATCAACAATATATTACGGGAAAGTAGATATTAAAGATGTATTATGGGTATGTGTTCGCGGTTCACCTACGGTCCACCACCACCACCACCATCAACCTGGTTTCTTTGATAGGCGCGCGTCCTCCAACTTATTTATTGCCAAAAGCATAATCACTATTAGAATTGAACAATCGCGTAGTCTGTGAGTAGGCATAATGTAGTTATACAGTGTGAGTCACGTTAAAGTGTACATATGAAAATAGATGAAACTAGACCTATTTTTATCGACAAAAAAGAAGTCAAAAATTTTTTGAGATTTTTTTTAAATTTTTTATAGATTTTTTTTTCTTCCAATTACTTATTGTAAAGAAAACGTATTAACTTTTAAACTAAGCGGTATCCTGATAAAATAAAAACAGTAATAATGCTAAATAACAGGCGATACTAAAAAAATACATAAAATACACAAAAAAGGCCAACAAATAATAAAAAATGATACTTTTTTAAAAAAATCTGCTTTTAAATTCGTGTTTTTTTTGTTAGTTGATAAATTTCTCCAAAAAATGCCCCTATAACCGGTGGTTTTTATTACTTTGTATTATTCTCTATCGTATTACCTTCGTACAACCAAAAATCGCATGTCTCTATCCCTATCACAACGTTTGCAATGATCGTTAAAAGTCGATAAAAATAGTCTAGTTTCATCTATTTTCATATGTACACTTTAACGTGACTCACACTGTATTTATCTAGCTCCTATAATTTTGATAGTCCAAGAATCGCGACTGCGATCGGCTTCCAATTCAATGTATGGAAGACTCAGCCCTGTTCATCCATTCTATGTCATGGCACATCATAATTAATTCCATTGATATTAAATTACATTAAAATTAAGTAAATATTTTGCTCATCTATGGCGTATTTTGCGACTTACACTCAATAATTCTTGAAGACTAACTAGTTAAATGTAAACTGAAAAAGACTGCTGTTTCTAAATATTACGATACTTACCATGAGATAATAATTCGGATATCTTGAGAGTGGAATGATTGTGAGCCATTTGGTCTAGAGTTGCCATGAGGTGTTCTAAATCTAGAAGGAGGGCTTCGGCATAGGTGACTATAGGATTTTGGGATCAGCAGGTTAATGTGTTGGAAAAGTTTGTCCATGTGCAAGACATGCAAAAAATATTTTCAATTGTGAGTAAAAGTGAAGCACCTTGGAAAAATACATTGGTTAGTAGCTATTAAACTTAATTTCTAATTCACTCTTTTGGCCATGTGCATGTGCGAAATTTACGTTATGCAATACATTGTTACCTATACTGGTACAATACCACATATGTTTTGAATTTATCTGAACAATATTCTTAGTCACTTTCCTTATTATTCATCAACATTTTCCTCATATTCAGTCTCATATAATTTTTTTATCCTCTGTTTTAATAAATACTTAAAGTAAACTTATAGACATAAAATTTTAACCTTTATAATTATCTGAGATCTTCTGATATTATTTAAAAACATATTAATTATGCTTCTGTTTAAAAACCAACATTTACTAAATGGCTGTTTTGATGCTGCTACCTTCTCTTAAATCCAAGTGCTATTTAAATTTGACACTAGCATGTGTGTAAAACATCTTGGTGTACAACATGGTAGTTTTATACAACATGGGAAAATTCTAACACACAGGAAAAATTCACAGTAATCATTATTCAACTGATGTGCAACAATAGCAAACTTTCCACCCCAACTGCAAATGGCCTATTGCTTTCAGTGATGAAAATATATTTTTTGATGAAAAGGATTCAGCATTGAACTTTTATTAAGCTTATTTTACACTATGTACCTTTTTAGTGTTATATTTATTAGCTTTATTATTTAGTGTACAGTTATAAAAAAAAGGACTTACATTCTTGGCCATCTGATGTGAATGGATCAACCCACGAAGACTTCATTGCTGCCTTATCAGGATGTGCTATTTCACTGATATTTGACTGCCCAGGTTGTTTTTGTGGCTGAAGTGGTGCTGTACTTAAGTTGGCTGCAAATTTGGGCATACTGGAACTCCATTTAGGCCCAAACAGCTGTAATTTAATAAATAAATTATTAGAAATGAAATGCGTTATTTTCCTTTCTCAATTAATTTAAGATAACACACAAGATTTATAGTAAATTATATAACATAAGATATGTATTAAAGGATAGGTACTACATATAAAAATAATATTTTAATGATACATACTATGTTTCTGGAGTCAATGCATAGAGCCTTTAAAAGTGTTTTCTGGGCTAATGAGTTATTCCAATTAACAATATATGGTTGCCTGACATCTGTTTCTAATAAATAGCCCCATGTCTCGCCCAAAGAACCCTCAAGTCTGTTATCAAGAATATTATCAGATTCTGTAACTTCTTGTTGGAATATTGAATGCATAACTTCATTAATTCTTTCGAAAATTTGATGTTCACTGTCTGTAGACTGAAGATTTAAGACTGGCACTTCCTCACAAAGAGTTTTGTCAGGGGCACTGGTGTTAGTTTGGGGTTCATTGACTGATTGAAATTCATCAAAGTCCCCAAAATCATCCTCTGAATCATGATCTTTTTCATCAGGTTGTTCAAGAGTAGTAGGTTCTGAAAATTCATCATTTGTTGCAAAGTTTGCTGTAAAGTCCCCAAAGCCATCATTTTGTGAATCTTCATTTTCCCAGGGATTTTCAGCAGTAACAAGAATGTTATCATCTGGTTTGTTATCAGAACTTATAAACTGAAAATCTTCAAAATCTTCAAAGTCATCCAAGTCATTATTGTTACTGGTCTGTTGTACAAAATCATTCTGAATTTCTTGTGAGACTGCAGCAGTAACATTATTTTCAACAGTATCATTGTTAAAATTTGTTGGTACTGTATCAGCCAACTCTTTAATACTCTCTTCACTCTCCGTATCATCTAATTTTGTGTGCACATCTTTCTCAATAGTTTTATCATTACCTTCTAATGTGATAGATTCTAAATTCGACCTAGTTAATTCAAGGTCATTCTGAGTGGTAGCACTACTTATTGGAATGTCACTTTGTAAATCTTTTACTAAATTTTCATCAATTTCACTTTCATGTTTTGTAGTCCCAACTGAGGGTTCATGATCAATTTTCAAATCCAAATCTTCAATAATATCCTCTTCCAAAGCTCCCCCTCTGTCATTTTCTTCAGGAATAATTTTATTTACATGAATTTTATCTGAAGATTCATTACATCTTGTATCTCCTTGGTCCACTATTTGTGCTTTATTTATCTCCTGGCAAGAGTCAGTTGTAGAAGATTGAAAATGATTAAAACTTGAAAAATTTCCATAGTCATAATCAGCATTGTCATCTTCTTGGGACACTGTAAAAAGATGGAATTTATACAGAAACTCAGATCAGACTAAAAATACAAACATAATGATTTATATTAAATTAGCTAGCATAAACATTTTTCATAATCCATTGATCCTAATCAGTCTAATAATGGTAGAAAAAACAAGTAGGTACGTCTATAATATCATTAGCAAGTACTGACCAATAAGCAAGTACATAATAAGAACCTAGCAGGTAATGATGGCAGGTAAAACCTAAATCATGGAATTAGACATGTAAAAAGTTAATGCTAATTACTCACGATTATAATTTATCTCAAAATCATCTGGGTCTTTGTCGTCTTCACATTGTTCTGGTGGAGGAGGAGTGCTGCAAACGAGTGGTGGAATCGACATACTTTTGAAAATGTATAACAATTAGCTGTGTTGTTTTAAGAAACAATATTTTTATGCATTGGAAATATTATCACTTAATCCCACAGCCACAACTAGAATTAAATTATGATAGGAAATGGTTTATTTCCGATGAATTGTTTTTGGGACAGCTGTTGTTAATTTGTCAATTTTCGGTTTCAGTTTGACACGTTTGACAGACGACAGCACATCGACAACAAAAGACAGTCTGCGAATTGATATGATAAATAATGGATAGACTAAGCAAGCACTCTTATGTCCACTATTTTCGGACCACGCTAATAATGATATTCACTTTTTTTTAATGGAACCAGATGCAGTGTATAGCGAGAGTGAAAAAAAAAACGTCTCTAATCTGTTTTTGATGTTGTGATGTGTAGTTATTGTAGTTTGGGTCTCCAAAAACATGTCAACCAACATTCAACATTTTTTGTAGGTTCATGATCAATTTTGTAGGGCAAAACGCGCTGGAAACCCGGCTTTAGAGGTAGCATTTTATCTAAAAATTATTCCATTTGAAGTCATTGGTAGTATTTATTGTTTTATAACATCCCAGATTCTCATCTGTGGCTGCGCCTGCAGGCCATGAAGCTAAAGATAAAAATGGAGGCCAGACTTAGAATACCTACTTGAAGCACAACCTATGTATCACTATCTCGCTCTCTGTGGGCAGGCTCTCTCTTTCTAAGTAGGGTAACCTTTTATTTATTTTTCTCAGGACGACAAAGACTGATTTACGTTTAAACAGTGTGTCTTGATAAAGTGCACTTAATATGATTATGAAAAAAGGTTTTCGATGTTTTTGTTTTAAGATGAATTACAACATTAAGAAAGTGTAAAGGCATCGAAAACTGTGGATATTTGATAGAAAACAGATTTTAATTTGGCAGTTGACAGACGGATTTGGATATGGATTGATTACAGTAAACGGCCGTAGAAAACATTATGCAAAATTAGATAAGTAAGGTCCCACAGAAAGTCCCAGATATATCCTCAATATGGTCATACTACTTCAAAATGTCTTATAGAAACAAAAATTTTAAATTTGCTCAAAGTCAATGAAACTCAATGTAAAATCTTCTTTTTCTTGACATATGTAACATTTAATAATAAGTTTAAATACTGGTAAAACGTTTTAGGAAGTAATTACTGTGAAAATACAAAGAAATATGTTAACAATGATCCACTGTCAGAAATCACGAAATAAACACTTACGCGTGGAATTTTATATCACTTCCAGGACAACACGAACTACCGCAACCACGCACTATACAATTTTGCACCATTTCTTCAGACAAAACAATGATAAGGTCCCTTGAAAAATCTCAAACGAAATCAACTGCATAGTAAACAACCGCCATGATGGGCCGGATTCGGCCGATGTTGCCACATTACCGATACCTCAGAAATTGGGATTGTAATTCCCTGATTCGCCAACACATTAAGCCTAAATGGCCGACAATTTTGTGATTTTTTATTTAACTAGGTAATCTAAGTTTCAAATATTAATTATTTATTTATTTAACTTCTTATTTGGTTAGTGAATTGGCTATTTCGAAGAATTTACAAGGAGATTTAAATAAGAAGATAGCAATACTACAGTTCACACTAAAAAGAGAGGTAGGGCCACAGAGAGCGAGATAGATATAAGTAGGTATTTGACTCAAGTTTTGTTCCCAACTTTGCCCTCCATTTTTATCTGTAGCTTCATGCTGCAGGCCACTGCTGTGTTCACTTGGAAAAAAATAAAAATAAAAAAAAAGTCCGACGGCCGGAATGAAGCGAACGGCGGAGGATTGTGTTTAATTTATTTCATTTATTTAAATTTAATTTTCCTTCAGTGTCACTTTTGTTTATTTAAATGAAATTGAAGTCAGTTCGAAAATTTTAACAAGTCGCGAAGTAATATTCTGGTAAGTACTAAATCCGTCCTACCCGTATAATTAATAATCTTTGATTGATATTAATTTATTAATGTGTGTGGAAATGCTTGTCTTTCACGATTATTTACACAGCTAATGATTATAGGGAGTTTTGTTGAAATACCTTGTTACTTTCACAAAGGTACTTTTTAGCGAAAGCACTGTCAATAACCTTTGACATGTGTCACTGCTTACGTGTCATCTTGCACTGCTGCTGTACCTTCATTTTGTGAACCTGTTTTCATGTATTCCTCTGTAAAAGCCCTAATTAACTGAAATTCTATTTGCGCTCTATATTTGTAACCAACTAGCGTTGTTCGTGTGAAGACCTAATATTTTTTATATATCTCCAATTCTTAACTTTCCTCCATTTCTCTGTACATAAACCGGGTCTAACATCTATTTGTCCTTTCGAATTTTCGTTCTTTGCTGGTAGGTATGTACTACCGTAATAACTTGCTTTTCTTTGAAAATGTAACTTTGACTGGTTGCTTGGCTCTTATCTCAATTTGATAGAATTCTGTTGTTGTGATCAAGATATTAGTGATATGGTTTTATATACAAGTTATGTATTATCTTTCAGTCACAAGCAAACTAACATCGCAGATGGAGCTGCAAGCATGGTTGATGCTATGTGGAGTCGGGGTGGCAGGTGTAGCAGCCGTGTTGCTGCTGATGGGCTTGTTTTCTGCCTCGGGAACTAGTTATGAGGAAGCTATAGCGCAGCAACGTAAAGCTACCACTGAGCTACTCTCCCTGGCAGAGAACAAAAACAAAGCCAAAAAGAAAGATAAAAAGGAGAAAAAAGAAAAGAAGGTATTTTTATTTTATTTATTTTCTAATAATTTCAGTTTTATCTGGATGTAAATTGCTATTGTAGATATTATAAGTAATAAGTATGCCTTTTATATCCTGCCTAAACATTATTAGCAAAGTTTTTAAACACTGAAACTATCATTATAGTTTTATCTTATTAAAACAACTCAAGATTGTAATATTATTCTTGTAACTTGCTTATCATAAATGACCTTTTTATCAAAGTCAGATTTGTATTATAATCATGCAAGTGTGATGCATGTAAGTAGGTACTTTCCTTTTCAAATTAACATAAATATCTTGAAAGTTCTTGAAATATGTCAATGTTTTTAATAAGCCTTTATGAGAATGGCAGATTGTGGTCTCACTGTATAGCACTGTGATATAATATTCCTCAATGTTTCTAGCATTACTTAATAAAAAGCTCTATACTTTACCATTGTGACTTATTTTAAATATTTTTAGTTGGCCAAGAAAGAGAAGTCCAAGGAAAATGTTACGGTGGCTACTAGTAGTGATCCAGAAAGTGAGGCACCAGCTGAGAGTGGCATGGAAGATGACTCTGTGCCCTCAGAAAAACCTCATGTGGAATTCCGCCCACCTGTTGTTGTTGACATCGCTAGAGACACCCCTCCAGCTGTTAAGGTATATTTTTAAACTAATAAGATTTGTGGCTGCACTTGTTATTCATATACGTATTGTGGGAATATTTAAGCTTTTTATTTAAGGGCATCACTTGTATAATAAGTACTTCATACCACTGTATGGTTCTGGCATAATTATTGAAAGATTTGAAAGGTTGGGTTTTATATTTTGCAATAACTAAACACATTATGCAAAATAATATTTTCAAAATGTACTTGGAATATTTATGATATTAAAAAATAATATGTACGGGATTTCTGCTTCAAAATAATGGATATGGTATTTGTTGATAAAGTGTGCTATGGGTGAAATTCAATAAAAATTGAGGGCTTAGTTAATATTTTTGGAAGACTGGATTAAAAGTACAAACTATGATTTATTGGGTTCTTGTAAAATATTTTCTCAAGAGCAATTCACTACACGTGATTACCATAAGTAAACATTATCTTAGCCATAACTTAATACAGTTAATATGTGTTATAATCTCAGTTGGGTTGTGTAAAATTATTATAAAGGCTGTGAAACTACATACTTTGTTAACTTATACATGCTTATACTAACATTATTTCTATTAAAATTTAAGCTGGCGTTATGTAACAAAAAATAAAATATACTTTTTCTGACTTAAATTTCGATCACACAACTAATCTGGCTTCTTGCTTCAAACATAATTTGCTTTGACTACTATAACTTTAATTCACTGATTGATCTAGTCTTCTAATAAACCATACCATGCAAAACCGTAATAATATATTCTATAAAATGCCTAAATGAGAGCATGCTCATGAGCATTTGGAGCTTAGTGCAGAGCTGGACATAGGCAGGTATTCCAATGTGCATGAATATTAAGAAATGAAATGTCCAGTTTCCTTCCAATTGATTGCCTTCTTCGAGTACATTTTGCACAATTATTAATATTATCGTTAACTCGAGAAGCGTAGCGCATAGAAGCAGAGTGCGCGCGGAAACCAGCTAAGGTCCGCCTGAAATACGCTAAAGCCTAATAAATACGCTTAAAGTATTTTGTATGGTTCGGGTGCTCATTATATTGATTTAACATCTGGCAACAGAGTCAACTAAAATTCCTTTTTAATAAAATCTAAAATACCTATTTCTATAATCATCACATCAAGTTGGACAAAAAGTTAAAAAACATGTATTTTTTTTTAAATAAGGGCCATACTGATTATCCTGTCTATACAATCAAGGGAATAAGTATATTGAAAAGATGTCAGATTATGTAATTGTAGGGTTTTATAGAATTTGTGGGTCTGTTATCTATTTAATATGTATTGGGAAATATTGGTATATTTCTTGACTTCCCAGCAGTACTTACTTGCCTTAAATTCCAGAGATTCAGGGTTTGTTTCCCACTTAAAAACTCCAAATTGAGTTGGAGTGAAATTCTTGGCTGAAAATGTCTGAAACATCAAATGACGTGTTGTATTTCACATTGGTTTATAATGTCAATTTATCTTGGATCAAGATTAATCTAGATTTGTTTTAGAAGTGTGTTAAAAACTGTAACCTAGATAAACATGTTATTTAAAATTAGGTTTGTAGCTGTATTAAAGTTAGTATACTATAAAGTACAGAATAAAACTGTTTGTACAGATTCGCAAACGCGGTAAAGATCCTAAAGTTAAGCCGATACTGTTAAACAAAGAGGATCCAAGCTGCGTTAGCGATCCTGGCTCGCTGCCCCCAACAGTCCCTGTCTCCAATAATTTTGAGGAGATGCATCCCAAGGACGAGTTTGAATTGTTGCAATCTTCATTGGCAACTGAAAAAGTGAGTCCTCCCACTAATCCTAACCCCCAATTTGTGTTGTCCTTATATGTCTTTATTTGTTTGATTTTGAAGGTTTGTTGAATTTAATGATTTTGGCGCACACTGTGTGATTTTGAGTGTGAATTATTATATGTTGTGGGGTATAATATTTTGGGTTATTATTTATATTAGCATTTATAATTTTATTATGAATTGGCAATGCTTCATACACAATGGTTCGGTTATCATTTCTAATGATTATTAAGCTGTGATAGTTCAGTTTTGAACACAGCATTAAATGCATATGGATTGCGGTTAGCTGGTACATAATTCTTGCATGTTTTTCTCCTTATTCGATTTTTATGCTTTAAAATTAGTGATCATTTTTAAATTCCAAGCATGTTACTGATACTGTTTTATATACTGAGCCCCAATTACGGTAACTTTTAACGTCAACAATCCAGACACGCTTCTCGATTCTGCGATACGATTGGTCGTTCAACAGCGTACGTCAGCTGTTTTGACCAATCGTATCGCAGAATCGAGAAGCGTGTCTGGATTGTTGACGTTAAAAGTTACCGTAATCGGGGCTCTGATACGTTAGCAAAAGTGAACTTATATCACTTTCCCATCATCAATATCAAAATTACTATTATCCTTGAAGACGAACTTTAACTTTTTTACTTCAATTTCACTCCTCAATGCACCTTTACCTTAATTTTTTTTTGTTTACGAGTGTTTAACAGTGCGTAACTAAGCGCTGCAATTAGAGTCAGTATTACTAATTTGGAGTGTGTATGTTTACACACTACGAAATGAAAAATTAGTTATAAAAATATTTTATTTTCAAGTAACCTTACACCCTTATTCAATATATTATGCAAGTTCCATGTGTCATTTTAAATCTACTTATAATTATAAGTTTAACAAAAATTCGGACTTCCATGTCTAAATAAATAAGTACCTACTTATCATCATTAATCCTATGTGATAACAACATTATGTGCCCATGAGGCTGTTTTATAAGCTTTTATTATTACCTACCACTAACTAGTTTGGTAATTTGCGTTAGGTTGCCGAAAAGAAAGAAGAAGTAGTCGAGAAAAAAGACAGCAAGGCAAGCAAAGCAGCAAAGAACACCAAGGCAGTTGCCAAAACCGCTCCAGTCGAAGAGGCCGCTAAAGTGGAGCCGGCGGCTGAGCGGCAGGCCAGTGCCGAGGTGGCGAAAGAACAGCGTAAAGGTTTGTGCCTGTAGTATTTAATAATAACTTTACAAATCATAGTTACTCAGACTCTTTAGAAATGTTTAGTTTCTATAACATGATTCAACAATAATAGTTATTAAAATTGTCTGGTGTTAAAGTCACCTCTCGATCTACATTTTTAAAATAACTTGAAAAAAACTTAGGAACGAGTTTTTCAAGTTATTTTAAAAATTATGATTCAACAAGTTATAAAATCATTTCAGATATTATTGAATTTGATATCAGGTATCAATTGCATACTTACATTTAAAACATTCTATTTCTATTAAAACGATGTAACTTCGAAAAGAGTAAGATCTTTATCAACAATAAATAATTATTTATAATATTTTTTACTCGGCATTCCATTGGACCCTTAACATCCGAGCTGAACTTCGCGGGAAGGACTTACATTTGCTTGCATTAATCGACAACAGCCAAGAAAGTGGAGAAGAAGCAAGCTGATGAGACGTCCGAGAGCGGAAAGGAGGAGTCCGTTCCTCCGCTCAACGTGCCGCAGCCTAGCGAGCTCACCACGGAGAAGCTGCTGAAGCAAGCCATGGCGCCCGCCACCGCGCCCGCGCCCTCTCCCCCGCCCACCAAGAACAAGAAGAAGAAGCCCGAGCCGAACGTGCTTACGCTTATGGGTGAGTTACAGCATCATTACTTCAGCCATAGGATGTCCACAGCTGATGTTCTCTCTCAAGCTGCTGAAGTAAGCCATAGCGCCCGCTCCCTCTCCCCCGCCCACCAAGAACAAGAAGAAGAAGCCCGAGCCGAACGTGCTAACGCTTATGGGTGAGTTACAGCATCATTACTTCAGCCATAGGATGTCCACTGTGGAAGGTCTCTCTCAAGCTGCTGAAGCAAGCCATAGCGCCCGCCACTGCGCCTGCGCCATCGCTTCCACCAAGAAGAAGAAGCCTGAGCCAAACGTGCTTACGCTTATGGGTGAGTTACATCATCATTACTTCAGCCATAGGATGTCCACTGTGGAAGGTCTCTCTCAAGCTGCTGAAGCAAGCCATAGCGCCCGCCACTGCGCCTGCGCCATCGCTTCCACCAAGAAGAAGAAGCCTGAGCCAAACGTGCTTACGCTTATGGGTGAGTTACATCATCATTACTTCAGCCATAGGATGTCCACTGTGGAAGGTCTCTCTCAAGCTGCTGAAGCAAGCCATAGCGCCCGCCACTGCGCCTGCGCCATCGCTTCCACCAAGAAGAAGAAGCCTGAGCCAAACGTGCTTACGCTTATGGGTGAGTTACATCATCATTACTTCAGCCATAGGATGTCCACTGTGGAAGGTCTCTCTCAAGCTGCTGAAGCAAGCCATAGCGCCCGCCACTGCGCCTGCGCCATCGCTCCCACCAAGAAGAAGAAGCCTGAGCCAAACGTGCTTACGCTTATGGGTGAGTTACATCATCATTACTTCAGCCATAGGATGTCCACTGTGGAAGGTCTCTCTCAAGCTGCTGAAGCAAGCCATAGCGCCCGCCACTGCGCCTGCGCCATCGCTCCCACCAAGAAGAAGAAGCCTGAGCCAAACGTGCTTACGCTTATGGGTGAGTTACATCATCATTACTTCAGCCATAGGATGTCCACTGTGGAAGGTCTCTCTCAAGCTGCTGAAGCAAGCCATAGCGCCCGCCACTGCGCCTGCGCCATCGCTCCCACCAAGAAGAAGAAGCCTGAGCCAAACGTGCTTACGCTTATGGGTGAGTTACATCATCATTACTTCAGCCATAGGATGTCCACTGTGGAAGGTCTCTCTCAAGCTGCTGAAGCAAGCCATAGCGCCCGCCACTGCGCCTGCGCCATCGCTCCCACCAAGAAGAAGAAGCCTGAGCCAAACGTGCTTACGCTTATGGGTGAGTTACATCATCATTACTTCAGCCATAGGATGTCCACTGTGGAAGGTCTCTCTCAAGCTGCTGAAGCAAGCCATAGCGCCCGCCACTGCGCCTGCGCCATCGCTTCCACCAAGAAGAAGAAGCCTGAGCCAAACGTGCTTACGCTTATGGGTGAGTTACGTACTTCAGCCATAGGATGTCCACAGCTGATGGTCTCTGTCGAAGCTGCTGAATCAAGCCATAGCGCCCGCCACTGCGACCGCTCCCTCTCCCCCGCCCACCAAGAACAAGAAGAAAAAGCCCGAGCCGAACGTGCTTACGCTTATGGGTGAGTTACAGCATCATTACTTCAGCCATAGGATGTCCACTGTGGAAGGTCTCTCTCAAGCTGCTGAAGCAAGCCATAGCGCCCGCCACTGCGACCGCTCCCTCTCCCCCGCCCACCAAGAACAAGAAGAAGAAGCCTGAGCCGAACGTGCTTACGCCTTACGCTTATGGGTGAGTTACAGCATCATTACTTCAGCCATAGGATGTCCACAGCTGATGGTCTCTCTCAAGCTGCTGAAGCAAGCCATGGCGCCCGCCACCGCGCCCGCTCCCTCTCCCCCGCCCACCAAGAACAAGAAGAAGAAGCCTGAGCCGAACGTGCTTACGCTTATGGGTGAGTTACATCATCATTACTTCAGCCATAGGATGTCCACTGTGGAAGGTCTCTCTCAAGCTGCTGAAGCAAGCCATAGCGCCCGCCACTGCGCCTGCGCCATCGCTCCCACCAAGAAGAAGAAGCCTGAGCCAAACGTGCTTACGCTTATGGGTGAGTTACATCATCATTACTTCAGCCATAGGATGTCCACTGTGGAAGGTCTCTCTCAAGCTGCTGAAGCAAGCCATGGCGCCCGCCACCGCGCCCGCTCCCTCTCCCCCTCCCACTAAGAACAAGAAGAAGAAGCCTGAGCCGAACGTGCTTACGCTTATGGGTGAGTTACATCATCATTACTTCAGCCATAGGATGTCCACTGTGGAAGGTCTCTCTCAAGCTGCTGAAGCAAGCCATAGCGCCCGCCACTGCGCCTGCGCCATCGCTCCCACCAAGAAGAAGAAGCCTGAGCCAAACGTGCTTACGCTTATGGGTGAGTTACATCATCATTACTTCAGCCATAGGATGTCCACTGTGGAAGGTCTCTCTCAAGCTGCTGAAGCAAGCCATGGCGCCCGCCACCGCGCCCGCTCCCTCTCCCCCTCCCACTAAGAACAAGAAGAAGAAGCCTGAGCCGAACGTGCTTACGCTTATGGGTGAGTTACATCATCATTACTTCAGCCATAGGATGTCCACTGTGGAAGGTCTCTCTCAAGCTGCTGAAGCAAGCCATAGCGCCCGCCACTGCGCCTGCGCCATCGCTCCCACCAAGAAGAAGAAGCCTGAGCCAAACGTGCTTACGCTTATGGGTGAGTTACATCATCATTACTTCAGCCATAGGATGTCCACTGTGGAAGGTCTCTCTCAAGCTGCTGAAGCAAGCCATAGCGCCCGCCACTGCGCCTGCGCCATCGCTCCCACCAAGAAGAAGAAGCCTGAGCCAAACGTGCTTACGCTTATGGGTGAGTTACATCATCATTACTTCAGCCATAGGATGTCCACTGTGGAAGGTCTCTCTCAAGCTGCTGAAGCAAGCCATGGCGCCCGCCACCGCGCCCGCTCCCTCTCCCCCTCCCACTAAGAACAAGAAGAAGAAGCCTGAGCCGAACGTGCTTACGCTTATGGGTGAGTTACATCATCATTACTTCAGCCATAGGATGTCCACTGTGGAAGGTCTCTCTCAAGCTGCTGAAGCAAGCCATAGCGCCCGCCACCGCGCCCGCTCCCTCTCCCCCTCCCACTAAGAACAAGAAGAAGAAGTACGAGCCGAACGTGCTAACGCTTATGGGTGAGTTACAGCATCATTACTTCAGCCATAGGATGTCCACTGTGGAAGGTCTCTCTCAAGCTGCTGAAGCAAACCATGGCGCCCGCCACCGCGCCCGCTCCCTCTCCCCCGCCCACCAAGAACAACAAGAAGAAGCCCGAGCCGAACGTGCTAACGCTTATGGGTGAGTTACAGCTTCATTACTTCAGCCATAGGATGTCCACTGTGGAAGGTGTCTCTCAAGCTGCTGAATCAAGCCATAGCGCCCGCCACTGCGCCTGCGCCATCGCTCCCACCAAGAAGAAGAAGCCTGAGCCAAACGTGCTTACGCTTATGGGTAAGCTACGATTAATCATTTAAATTTATTACTGTCGCACTCGCACAGCTACTGGTATCTATCTATTATATGAAATAGTAACTTGCACCTTTACCCAGACGATACGACACATTGGTTACTGGTGTGCAGATACCATGTTACTAAGCAAAGAAATTATTAAATATCATTGCGTCATCATTTCAGCTTCGTTTTACATTAGCATTAATTGAATAGTTGTGTGTTCAGCTGTCGTCAATGCGTCATACTTGATTTGTTGCTATGTAATTTTGTTTTTAAAAAATGTGATGATTCTTTGTAGGTATGTCCTATTTAGAGTGAAATGCAAAGAGCTGTAGGGGTGTTGACCAATCCTAATAACTAACCTATCAACTCATGACAAATTATGAAGACTAGATGCTATCACAATTTCTACATTCGTCTTTGAAGAATCTCCTAATAGATCTTATGGCGGATTTACACTGCGCGGAAATTAGCCGAGTCAAGTAAAAAACAGTGCGGTGGGGATGAAAATCATTCATATTTCATCCCCACCCCACTGTTTTTTTGACTTGACTTATTTCCGCGCAGTGTAAATGTGCCTTTACAGTAAACAGTAAAAAAGTCTTCTTGTTGTGTAACAGCAAACCTACACAGTGTCAGCCCAAAACACCACAAGAGTGGCGTTGTCAGTAGCCTTCATTAAATCTTCCTGCGTGCAGTTGTTTGGACACGCTGGGCACATAATTTTTAGAAGTTATGCTGAGCCATATTCAATTTACCAACCAAATAACCACCAGGGCCGACTTTAACAGTCTTTCTCCCACAGCGGCTGGCGACGGAGGCGGCGTGAACGTGGGCGAACTAGTTCGCGTGATCCGCGAGGCGGCGCTGTCCCGCACCGAGATCCAAATACTGACCGACGCGCTGCTCAACAAGCACCACGACCCGCTGCCCGAGCACTCCGAGTGGACCGAAGTGAGTCGGAATCAACGCCCATTAACGCCTTGTCCAGGAGGGCGAATTCGCCGCGAATCCTACACGTGTAGAATCATACGCACGTTGGCTATAGGGTGCAGACATCCGCTAAGAATCTACCTGCCAAATTTCAAATTTGTTGGTGTTATAGTATAGTTTCTGAGATTTCGTGACGAGTAAGTCAGTGACCTTTCGCATTTATACATTTAGATAGCTGTGGACATGGTGATAGTATGTATATTGCCTCAATAACTTGGAAAATTAATATTGCTGTAAAATTTATAACTTTGCTTATCGGCACGAACTAGCAGTAAAAAATTTGCTCGCCCACAAGGACCTTGATAGTTCATAGCGATTAAAGACGAGAAACTTACGCATTTATTATTGTCACAGGGACCCAATGATCCCATGCAGAAGCTGAAGAAACAGCTCGCCGACAAAGAAAAGGCTCTAGCTGACGAAATTGAAGCGAGTCAAGCTCTCCATGCTAAACTCAAAGAGCTACGGTAAGTACTCTACAGAGACATGATGTTATGTAACACAAATTCTAATAACAGAGAACTTTTATGATATCCACGATTGGGAAGCGTGGATCATGGTTCATATTGAGCTGATTCAGATTTATTGTTTCTCGATCCTAAAATTCGTGATAGATTGAGCGCACACACGTCCACGCCGCCTCTACAGATTTGCTTTGTGCGCATGCTACGCTCGATTGGAGTACAATGGACCGTCCGGTCTGAACACGACTAGTGACAAAAGTAGAGCTAAAGTAACGCTGCGACTTTAGCAAAGATGAATCTACACTTGCGAGCAAAAGTATGGAATCACTTACATGAAGTTGTTTCCACGCGATCTTGTGAACTAACGAATTTGTTAGTAACAAAAAAAGTGGCACCATTTTAAACATTAAACTTTTAACTTTAAATTGATACCAAATTCATTTAAATCACACCAGTATTTAAAAAGAAATCCCGGCTGATGTAAAGAAGTAAGGAAAAAGACATGTATCAACTGTTTGATACGTCGCGAGTTGCGGCCTATTTACCCCCTATAAAAGCACGTGTTTTCGGATTTTTGCTTTCACACGTTGATCCTTACACATCTCCGCTTCTTTTGATACTTTACCTGGGATTCTACACCTTCAGAAGCAGCACAAATCGTTGCACTATTGCAAGAAGGGCTCAGCCAGCGGGCTGTCGCACGTCAGCTCCACATAAGCCAGTCTTGGGTTTCTAAAGTTTTAAGACGCTTTCAGGATACTGGTGGCTTTATCCCGAGACCAAGTTCTGAACAGCGCCGGTGCATATCGCAGAGGGATGACCGTTTTTTCATGTCAAACTCTGTATGAAATCGTTATTTGACTGATATCGACGTCCAGCAAGAGCCCAGAAATGTTTGTAGGATAGCTGTTAGCGAGTGGACAGTTCGTCTAAGATATGAGCAATAGAATTTGACTCCAAAAAGGTCTGCCACAGGCTCGAAACTGACGGCAAGTCACCGACTAGCACGCTTTCAATTAGCTCGCACTTATTTTGATAGGAAGGCGAGTAATGGAAGCGAGTTTTGTTCTCCGATGAATGCAGACTGTGTTTGCAGTGCAGCAGTCGAAGAGGTCGGGTCTATAGGCGGCCTGGGGAGAGATTTGTGCAGTGCTGATTCGCTGAAACAGTGGCTTATAGGGGTGGCTTGCTCGACTTCCCATCGAGATGTGTACGAGCAAAGAAAGCGTGCTTATCGGTGACCTGCCGTCAGTTTCGAGCCCGTGGCAGGCCTTTTTGGAGTCAAATTCTATTGCTTATATCTTAGACGAACTGTCCACTTGCTAACAGCTATCCTACGAACCTTTCTGAGCTCTTGCTTGACGTCGATACCAGTCAAATGACGATTTTATAGAGAGGTTGACATGAAAAAACGGTCATCCCTCTTACTATTGTACCAGTGATTTAACGGAAAGGTAAGTGTGAGGAAAGTGAGGATTGATATTATCATAGTACGGGAGATTATTTTTAGCACAAAGGCTACGGCTGTGACCATTATAATTATGTAGTTGTTTTTTCAGACATCACCAGCTTCTGTACTACTTCTTGCACTAGCATCTCACCTTTTCCAGGCCAGCTTCGGCAGTTGGTCAATTGGTCCATGTAGGCTTCATGTTGCTATCGACTTTGGTACACCCCCAACCAGTCGCGTAAAGGGAAGACTGAGTCGGTTACTTGCAACTGATCCTATACGCGAACCCTTTGATATACTGCCAGTAGCCAATGCTGATACAAAGCTGTCTGGGTTATCTTATGTATGGCCACACCTAAACGTAGTCCACAGCGACCCATTAGGATCTTTATTCTCCCTTTTTTATTCCCTATCATCCAAAAAATCCTATTCATTAGTTAGGTGAATCAAGCGTCTGAGTGAAAGCCACCTAATAGTCTTCTGATGCCGGATATGCTGACCCAAGCAGACCCATCCTTACAGTATTAAGTGTTTCATGGATCCCACATGTATTCCACATGCTCGAGAGCTTCTGTTGTTAGGCCCATTTTGTGGGACATGTGGTTCGTTTCATAATGCCGAGTTTGTCCTACCTGTAATTACTTGGGCTTACCTTTGATAAGTTTTCTCCATGACCCTGTATTTCCCTTTAGGAATGATTTGGAGAGGCTTATATCGTTGGAGCTTTCCCATTCAGCCCTGTGCTTCTTGGATATAGCTATAAGGTACCTATGCTTTTAGATAAAGGTACTATCAGTTCTGACCCAATAGGTATCATCTCTGACCCTTGTCTCGCTAGACTGTCGGCTCTCTCATTGCATTCGATCCTTGTATGTCCAGGTATCCCACATCAGGGACACTTTATCATGCCTTCAGAGTTTGTTCATCTTTAAGACTGCATCTAGAATAATTCTAGACTCAACCTTTACTGAGGCGATGGCTTTGTTTGAGTGCTGCCTGGCTGTGGTGGCCCAGGATGTAAATATTGCGTTTTTACACCCCTGTTTTAGTGCACACATAATAAATTATAGCGTAGAATTCAGCTTGAAGTACTGTAGCAAACCTCCTTAAACGTTCACTGTGTTCGTAGTGTTTACAGTAGACTCCCGGTCCCGTTCCCAAGGCCAGGCCATCTTGGCTTGGAGCTGTCAGTAAAACAGATTAGGCTGTATTGTTTTAGATCAAGTACCTCCTATTATTACTACATGCTTGACTATGAACGAGTGCTGTAAGTGCCCACCAACCTAGGCAGTTTTGTATCAGTATATCAAGGGCAGTAATTATGTCCTAATGATTTTTTAAGTTATTTAAAATTTAGTTGGTTCAAGGGGTTCGCGTATAGGGTCAGTTGCAAGCAACCGACTCAGGCTTCCCTTTACCTGACTGGTTGGGGGTGGACCAGAATCGATAGCAACATGGAGCCTACATGGCCAACTATACCAATTACCCGTAGCTGCCGAAGCTTGCCTGGAAAAGGTGAGATGTTAGTGTAAGAAGTAGTGCAGAAGCTGGTGCTGTCTGAAAAAACAACTACATAATATAATGGTCACAGCCGTAGCCTTTGTGCTAAAAATAATCTCCCGTACTTTTTTAAAGATACGAGTATGTCTGTTATAAAGTAAATTATTCTGAACAACAACATTATGAGTTGAAGTATGTTCTTAGTAACAACATTATTAATTAAAACAATATGATCAATGAATGTTATGAAGAAAAAAGATCTGAAAATAAAAATTATGTATTTTAAATGGTTCTTGGTAGTAACAGTATTGATAAAAAAATTATGATTACTAACTGTTATGAGTTCCGATGGTAGTAATAAAAATGTATGAATAAAAAAAGTATGAAAAATAAAATTATGAAGGGAGATTATTATGAACACAAATCGGTAGTAAGACAAAGAATAGGATTTAGAATTTTATGTGAGCCAATATAGAACCTTCCCTACTATCTGCGATGTGCACCGGTGCTGTTCAGAACTTGGTCTCGGGATAAAGCCACCAGACTCCCGAAAGCGTCTTAAAACTTTCGAAACCCAGGACTGGCTTATGTGGAGCTGACGTGCGACAGCCCGCTGGCTGAGCTCTTCTTGCAATAGTGCAACGATTTGTGCTGCTTCTGAAGGTGTAGAATCCCAGGTAAAGTGTCAAAAGAAGCGGAGATGTGTAAGGATCAACGTGTAAAAGCAAAATCCGAAAACACGTGCTTTTATGGGGGTAAATAGGCCGCAACTCGCGACGTATCAATGAGTAGATACATGTCTTTTTCCTTACTTCGTCACATTAACCGGGATATCTTTTTAAATACTGATGTGATTTAAATAATCAATTTAAAGTTAAAAGTTTAATCTTTAAAATGGTGCCACTTTTTTTGTTACTAACAAATTTGTTAGTACACAAGGTCGCGTGGAAACAACTTCATGTAAGTGATTCCATAGTTTTGCTCGCGAGTGTATACTTACGAGAAAAAGACGTATGAAATAATCCTCTTGTGTTTTGTTCCGAACGATCTGATTTATCTTTTACACGCATTATCCCTACCACTGCTTCGGGACAATAAATGGGCCAGTGCTGAGAAGAAGCACCGCAAGTAACTCAAGTCACTATTGTCAGCTTGCGAAAATCAACTCTGCAAGTTTTATTGCTAGTCTAAACCTCGCTTAAAGATCACTCGACGAATGGGTTCTTCATACTTTTGCTCGCGAGTGTAGTAG